TGATCGATTAGATCTCCAACTTCAGCGGCAATCTCAACAGGAAGTGCACCGACTACGTATGCATACTTTGATGCCTGAGATTTTATGCCTCTAGCCATGAATAAAGCTTCAATCTGAGCAAACCAGATTCTTGGATTATTAATACAATACGTTGGTAATCTTAACTCTGAGATAGTGTTGATCGAGTTTAAAGCATTATCCTCTGGTTGTGGAGAGTTTAGAAAGTTGGTCGGTGAACTTCCAATATCAATAAGTTTACCCGGAGAGTTCATAATGACAAAAACAAAATGATGTCGTGCCAGGTAATAATAATTAAAAAAAATATGTAGATATATAAGGTAAATGTCTATAAAAAAAGACGAGGCTCACCAAATAATTGTGGTGGACCAAAAAGTATAATAACCAAAAATCAGTGATAAAGTTATTACGTCCAAAATTAATGTAACAATAATAATTTATAAATTAACAACACAAATTAAAAATTCAGGGACGTTACTTAAATCGGCTAGTGGTTGCGTATTCTGTTGAGTTTTGGTCCCATAAATCCACAATTATAAATGCGTAATAATTCCACAGAGGTAAATATGACGCCAATAAGTTTCCCTGACGTAGGATATGATGGAAATGACACAGCAGTCTAAAATGAGGATAATATCCAGTTTAGAACGCAATTGACTCGGTAACGAGCGAGAATAGAACAATGGGTATGTGCGTAGTAGTGTATTTGCGAACCACCGAAAGTATGTCACGCTATGTTAGTAACACAACGGAAAAAGTCTTCAAGGTCATTTTACTTAAACAACAGGTACAATCATTTAATGATAAATGTACATTCAGTGAGAAATTGACAAATACAAATAATATTAGAAACTATTTACAAGATAAGCTTGTCAGATCTATCTCCACAAGTACGTACCGCATCGGAATGACGTGGTAATGAAATGAAATTCTTGGCGCTCTGATGAATCGTTTTATGGACTTCTACTTCTTCGCGTCACCATGAATGTGTAAACTTTACGTGGTCTAGTAGTAGTTCCTTGAGATTTGCTTAGAGATGTGAAATCGGCTTAAATGAAAATGCCAAAGTTTTCAGTAAGCTGTAAGCTTCTTTTTCAATGAATGTAAGGAAATGAGATACAACATGAACATCTTCAAAATCCTTTCTGATTGCTGTTCAGATTTCAAACCTTTCTTTATAATCCTCAAAAGCAGGATTCATCGGGATGACAATGTGGTAGTTAGAAGTGTTTGGATTATTATACAAACTAGGAAACATTAAATTAATGCAATTTAAGTCAAACCGAATTAAGTGGACACAGACAAACGTATTGTATTTTGAATTCAAAAAAATAATAATTGTTCATTCTCAACTAAAGTATCTACATTGGCAAACTGCTTTTACAAACCGCAATCGTGTCCAGTTTTAAAATAAACTTAACAGAATAAATACAGAAAACCATCCAGTTCACTAACTATGTCATCTAACTTTTTAAACTGGTTTCAATCATCAAACACAGTGAACTTATTTTCAACCAAATAAGTAGTTCGTCAGTGAATTTATGTGGATTGATTTGGGTTCCATTGGAAAAATATAGAAAATCTGGCAAATATTATCTATTCTATTCATGATAAAAACTGTTTTAATTTTTTTGAATATTATAAAAAAATAAAACGTTATCCCAGGTTTCTTTATGTAGGAGGAGGATTTTATTCAGAAGTAAGAGCACCCACATCTTACATTGAGTTTAGCTAAAATCTCTTGACTAGTAATTATTTTTAACTTGTGTATAAAGCGGTACAAGCTAAAACTAGTTATCTTAGATAAAATCATCATATGAAAACTACACTACAAATATACCTGGTTTTTCTATTAGGAAATCAGATAGCATATTGGCTATCTAATGGCTAATTTTTCTTACGATATAAACTAGCATTTAAAGAGAATTATAAAATTAGCTTCTACAGTATCTTATTTTCTATTATGTATTGTACTGGCAGTCAGTTGCAGATATTCAGAGGCCAGATAGCTAGAGTGAAGTGATGATAGTTTTGTTGGAAACAATATAATTAAAAGTCTTCACTAAATAACATTTAGCTAAATTCAAAGAAAAGTGAATTGAGGAAAATACGAAACATGGGTAACGATTTCATTTAGATCACATAATAAGCATTTCTGAGATAGCTTTCATAAAATTTATAAAAAATGTTGTCTCACCATCTTGTAGTTCAAAATTGAGATTTCATTGACTAAAAACAGAGCACCTAGTAGTATTGAGTAGACTTTTTATTTATGATGTATTATTCACACAACTAAGTAATACAGATAAGTTCACTGTAGATGAGTGTATAAAATTTACCGAGAATAATCCTACAGTCAAGCAATTGTCCTGTCATAATCACCCAAATGTTATTTGTTTGCAGAAATCTAACAAAATTGCTTAAAAACGTCGGTACTGTGTCCACCCATTAATCGTATGTCACATATTATGTAACGTGCTAACTGGTGTCTCAATGGTTATCTAGACAAATGTTTGTTTGGCACTCTGTAACCAGACAAAGATCCATATCACTCAATGTAAGGAAGTAAGTAAGACTGCAGTTAAGATTTTGTTAACCCCACAAAATAAATGCATGACACATACAGCACCGTATTCATAGGTTCTGTCCAGATTCACTGCGTTATAAGTCACTTAGTTATCTGGTCAATTGGTAAGTTTTAATATACGGAACTAGGCAGTAGTTAATAATAAATAAATTAATAACTAGATGAATGTATATAACTAATAATCTCAGTAGATTTAACTGCATTTGCCAAAATACAATAAATAACTTAGTTTCACTTGTAATTCTTACTGAAAATTCTTCATCCTTTTTAATTACTCGCAAAGCCTAAGTTACTATGAACTGGTATCATAATTTGTTAGAAAGTGTAGATAAAAGATGATAGTTAGGTAGATGATAGTCAGTAAATAAAATAGATACATTAGGGATTAATTACTACATTTTGAATGCGTCAGTAACTGATGTAGTTAAGTTTAAACAATAGCTTTAGTATATCCTTTTAGTCCTGTTTGGAACTCGTCACCTGGATGTATCTGCATTCCAGAGTTTATGATCACCACAGGACTCGAACCCAATGCCTTTCGCTTCATATGCCATTGCGTTATTCACTTAGCTACTGAGTCATGATAGCCATTGGCTTGTGCAATAAAGTGAGTTTTTCTTATCAATTTAAATTAAGTTTCAGCTTATTGCCCAAGTCAGTGGCTATCATGACTCAGTAGCTAAGTGAATAACGCAATGGCATATGAAGCGAAAGGCATTGGGTTCGAGTCCTGTGGTGATCATAAACTCTGAAATCCAGATACATCCATGTGACGAGCCCCAAATGGAACAAAACAATGGTCTTGGGTCCGACTGTTAGCTACCATCCATCTCTGTTTGAAGTCGTTTAATTTAATCACAGCCTCATCAGCTGTCTACAACCCGTAGTATTTAAAAACCGCGGTTAAAATTACTGATGATTGTTTTAAAAATACAACAGTATCGCTTAGCAAAGATGTAAATAAATTTAAGAGACTAAATAAATATTGTAAATAAGTATCTTATGTAGAGAAACAATGTATAGTTACAAAAGATCAAAGAGTTATATGAAAGGAAAGTACCGACGAAGAAGAGATTCGGAAATAGATATAATGATTCCATAAATCGAAAAACGAGTTAAATAAAATTTCAAACTGTAACAAAGAAATGTCTTTATCACAGAGGTGAATAAAGTTTGATAATTTTATCTTTTCTGGTTTCTAACACATGATAGTAATTGCCCCAGGAAACTTCAGAAGATCGGAGCTTAACTTTTTAATAAACACTGAAAAGTTTTAGAGTATCGACTTGATGTCCTATGTTCAAGAGATATCTAGTGGTGTTTAGTGTATATTTGTTATATTTCATTCTCTTGAATAAGAGCTCTATGGGATGTGGTATCCTTTCTGTTTAGCCATTTTAATTGTTTTAGGAGGTAAACGTAAATTTATAGACGCAGCCAGTGATAACGTTTCATCAAATAGCTCAACATGTTTTTTACACATCATTAATAGTTTGACTTCATGTTAGGTTCTGGCTAATGCTGTCTTGGACCTCCTACTTCGTACCCTTGTAAATTTATCATCTCTGAAGTTGAAGTGGATAAATATTGGTTTTTATTTGCTGTAGCTACATCTGATCGGCTGTTTTCATGTATGTTGTGTTTAATAATACATTCCTTTGCATAGCAGTTATCTATAAGGCACTTTCAAATGTTAATCATTTTTTATTCTAGTTTGTCAGTGGTACATAACTTATTAACTCAATGAGTAAATGTTTTGATCAAAGCTCTCTGTTAATTGATTGTACAAAGCTTATAATTCTTAAATATCACAAATTGTGAGCAGCTGACAAGAACATAGTGAAATAAAAGAAATTTATGTCATTTTGCTCAAGACTTTTACCTTGCTCTTTTCAAAGGATTTTTGTACTTATTATTATCAGGGGCATAAATAAATACTCTGATAGCTGTTTAGTGTTCAATGTACATAAAACATTTACCTAAATTTTGTATTAATTTTGCCTATATGATCAAATAAGATAACTTCCATAAAACGTGTACATTATTCTATTTCAAACAGAATAGTTGCCTGTTTTTTTTCTATTTACTTCATTTAACTCTATTGACATTTTTCTACAGGGTATTAAACAATTGATACCATATGAGTTACTCAATTTTTTATTGTTTTAATTTAGATTGAGTTATTCATTGATTTGTACAATTAAAATTTACAATTAATATGATGAATTAGACTTAATGTTTCATATAAATTCTGTACACATATGATAGAACAAGAAAGCCTAAGCTTAAATTAAATCTTTAAAGTGCATACATAAAAAATACTTTGAATACCAAAGATTTCTTTGAAAATAAAGGTTAGAATGAATTTGTTTTATTGTTTATTTGATTTCAACAGGGTATTTTGTCTCTACCGATAAATAAGTCAACATATCATTGTTCATTACAATCATCATATCCAACTGTATATTTTCGCATCCGATTTTATCTTCCGATACATTGTATAAATGAACGTGCAACACAACATATTTATTATTTACAACTACGAAGAAATCATGTTGCCTATGAATTATTTTGTGATCCAAATGTATATTTTCAGTTAGCAGCGTTTGCACTACAGGCTGAATTGGGTGATGCACCAAAATGTTTTAATCCAGAATCTGAAACATCCTATTTTCTACCAGAACTTTATTATCCTAAGAAAGTAAGCTGAATTATTTTTTCTACTGTTTTGACAAATAAACACTAATTATCGTCAATTAAAACATTCCACTAGTCTAAGTTCCCTGTCTATTAGTGGGATAACAGCAAGCTCAGCTTGCAATAAGTCAACCTAAATATCCTGATGACAAATTAGAAGACATTTCTACTTAGCTAAAATCAATTTGCAGAGTAGTGTAATTTCAGCAGTCTGATACTATGGTGTAGACGGTGTTATATCTTGTTACTAATCAACGTTGATCATTAGGAGTCGGCTAGTAATAAAAACTGAATGAAATTATGCTGGTTAATATTCAATGACTGGTAAATGTACCTTTCATCGGTCAACTGTATGTGCGATTAAGGTAACTCATTCAAATCATGCAACATTGGTGTGAAAGGCTTACGTCTGGATTGAAGATGAAATTCGTATCCTATTGGATGTAGACACTTACTACTAATACACTACTCGATTCAAAAACCACCTGCAAGATATTTCCAGATCTTTAGCACTTACAGTGAACTGTATATTCAGTTTCTATAAAACAGAATAGCTTTGTAGACCGACTACTTAGCTGATAAATACTTAACGTTTCGGAAATAAACACATAGTAGGTAAAACAAGGAAAATTATGAGTAGTTAGATAATTCCTACTTGAATGAACAAAACAGTCTTTATCAAAGGATTTAAATCATACATTGATTTTTTCAGATAATATCCAACTACTCGACTGTTTATATTAAACTGGTTCTACCCGAAAACGTATGTTTAGGCATTCAGTCTTATTATGTAATAATAAGTTGAGAAGACTAAGAAAATGAGTGAATATCGTATTATTTCAAGTTTAATTGGTAGTATCTGTGAATGAAGATTATTTAGATTAAAGCCATACAATTTAAATATTACGCATATAATTGTAAATCACGTTTATTTTTGGGACCCTATTGATTAGAAAATCTGTCATAAAGTGTGATACACACTAAAAGTACCTTCGAATTACTTATCAAGAATCCTCAATACAGAAATTGTAGTAAATATGTTACGCGCTTAACCAACATTTCAATTATTGTCTGGAAAAAGGGACACTAAGTGTAGTATAGAATAAAGTTCACCGTAAACGTCTAGAGTTGAAAGTCCGTTGATAACAAGCAAGTATTGGACATTTCATAATTTTCGAAGTATTAAACATCGTTGATTCCATTTAATAAGATGATCATTATTGAGTACTAATATCATTTTATAAATAATGACAGGTATATTAATATTAGCATTACAGAGAGATATCGTAAACATAGAGTCTGTCATAGATGAATGTTGGCTCAAGTTGCCATACCATATTAGCACGACAAGATGAATAACAAATGATTTTAAAATTGTTCATTAACAATGATAAAGAAGAAAGCTAAACATCGGGAATACGTTTAGAAAAGACAGAGTGAAAAGGTAAGATCAAAGGAATACCGTACGTCAAGATTGAAAGATAAACAACGGATAAGTGTGAGTCATTTTGGATGAGTTTAGGACATGTCATTCAAAGTCTCCAATGATTGTTTGCGATTATAACGAACCATAATTGAATAGTTTGTACCTTTCAGCATGGCTCATACCAATATTTATTGAATTTATGAACTGGTGTTATGTGTTATTTTGGTCACTACCTTTATTCAACCTATTTTTGTACCAATAAACACGTTTTGTAGAAGTAAGATGTGGCATTATTTAATTGCTTCGTTAATTTGCTCATTATCTAAACTATTTACTCTTCAGTGTTCTAATTAAATCTATTGATTATATGTTATGCAGTGTTTTGGTTTGGTGTCTTAGAATTATCTTCTTTAGTGACTTATGCAATACTATACAAAACTGATTTTCAGGAGTCTATTAAGATACTTGATGCATATGTATGTAACTATAAATGAAGTATCATAATCATAATACATAGTCTAGTAGTGAAAATGATAAAAATTTCAAGTTTTAAGATGAATCTAAACGTTGCGTTTGATTTTGAAAATGAAGTTGTTTTTCCATAAACCATTCTTCTGAAGAACTTTGAGAGATTCTTTTTTCTAATGTCAAGAAAGGGAAAACATCTAAATTTTCACTTATACTCTTATTTTCATCGCCCCCTTGTTTGTTATCATAGTATGATTATTTTTATGTGAGTTTTAGTCCCAATGCGCTCGATTACTTTTAGGACTGCGAGACAGAAAATTAGAAGACATAAGATGTAAATTATGTGTGGATAGCGTAGTGCGACTAATGTACTAGTAAGGAGGTTAAACGATCTGAACACAATCTTTTTTGAACAGTAAACTGAAAAGGCATGAATAAACATTTCGAATCAGAAATTTAATGACTTATCCTCATACAGTATTTGATATATTCTAGGCTTTTAGTATCTACTTAAGCGAGAATGTGATGCATGAATCGTCAATAAAACGCTTTTTAATAAATTTAATTTACTGTGGTGGCGATAAACAGTATTCTCAAATTTGTCAACCACCCTAGTTATCTGGATTCACCTGAAGAAAATTAGTAAGTAGGTGTTTGCTTAAGAATGCAGAAGTTTTACTTTTCCTGAAGCATTTGTATTTCTTCAATTAGATTCTATCAAACGAAATACTACCATATTGAATTTACTTTTACGGCTATCGATATGCTGAAATCATGAGTATCTAGTAGTAATGACATATATACTTGTAATGAAGCTTATATTTTCAGTTAAACTAAAATGGGACTCTATCCAGCTGATAATCGTTTAGTGCTTAATTTCATTGCCGTACTTATTCGTAATATATTTGAACGCTTTTCAGACAGGATCTAGTGTGCATAGTAAAATGATAGTAACTACTTTCATGTTGCCTTTTCTACATGTAAGTGCCCAAGGGTTTGATAACAGTCAGTATTGGTTATTCCTTCAGTATACAAAATTTAATTATACAGTGGACTAATTGCCTTAGAATCACACTGATAAGTTACGTAATAGGTATTTGTTGTACGCACTAATGATTTTCTAAGACAATACTTTTATCTCTATCGTGTTCAGATCAAAAGAGATTATCAAACGGAATGGTTTTAAGTTTCTCAACACTATGCATTTTATGATTTTATATACTCCTAAATTATCTAATATGTGTTTGATTGTTTGTAAAATTTAGTTTGTTAAATCGTGTGATAGTGTTGAACTAGCCTATTACACTTATATACATCATTCAGCGCTTCATAATACTGTAACCTATCTGGCTGAGTTTCATTTTATTCATCTGGCAACAAAACTGAACTCTGATTTCAATTTACATTTATATCCACTTGAGAAACCTACTCACAAATGCCGCTTCTCTGTATGGATTGGTATCAGTCCACAAGGAGTTACATTATATCAGGTGATGAAAACAAAGTAATTACCTGTTGCATTCAATTCATTTATGCTGTAATCTCTTCAAAAGTTATTATATTATTAATTATCTAATGAACATTTCTATCAGAATTATTTATTTAAAAGTCAGAAAATAGATATCAGTCTTTAGAACCCTGACTTTTAGTTGTAATGTATTATACGGCTGAGTTATCAACTCGTACTTTATCCACTGCTTATCCAATAAGTATAAACTAACATAGTAAAGGAAAAGTTCACCATCAGATTTTCTCCAGATTGAATTTACATCAATCAAAAAATGGTAATATAGAATACTGTAATGTTTAGAACATTTTTTTAACATCAATTATTTTATTAATGTTATTCAGATATTTATTGAAAATATCAAAACATCATTGATAATTGTCATTCAAATTGCTTACATCTGTATCTCTTTATGTGAATATAAAACAATCCATAGTTTGATGAATTAAGGACATCACAGTTTGACGCTCATCTCTCGAGTATCGAACATTGTGATCGCATAATTTCACCTTGATCATTATTTAATGAGCCATCATTTTTTTCAAAAAAAAGTAATAAATTTGAAATCTGTGCGGTGTTGTTATTCTCTCTCATAAAGCATATTAAAATTACCCATTCACTTCAATAATAGCTTGTTAGTGTAATTATTGTAATCTTCAAAAATAAGATAGAAATTTTGAATACGTTTCATCTTATGAATTCAGGATATATTATAAACCTTACTAATTTATATTCTGTGTAGAATGCACTTGAAAATATGTAGTAAGGTAATCGGCATAAATTGTCAAATAATTTACTAAATAAAGAAAAAACTTCATTCAATCATTAAGAAACGGAAGACTTCTCAGTGAAGAAAATTTTCTCATCTGTGATTTCAATTTCTTATGTTATACAATCATACTCGTTCATAATTTTGCATGCAGTAGCCTGTCATAAAATAGAAAAAAACGAACAAATTTACCAAACATTAGACGTTTCCAAACATAGAATATAGGAGATTTATTGAATCACTTAATAAAGTCGTTAAAAGTTATGGAAAATTCAGTCCTAATTAATAGATAAGGTCGTATGCAAAAAACTTTAATACAAAATATGAGTCAGGAAAACTCAGCTAAGAAAATCTTTTCCATGAAATCGCTTACTTATTCTGTACATTCCTAATTAGGAGTTTTTGTGCCATAGTTTGTATGATAACAATATAAATGGTAATAATAAGAATAGTAATTCGTAGGAATATCATGTTAAATAGGGAAGATTAATGTATACATAATAATAATAAATAAATAAATATCACGAAAAGGAGGATTAGTCACAAAGATGGGGAGGGGGAAGTAATATTTGTGTGTATTAAAATATTGCAATCAAGACTGAAACAACCCTATTGTGTGTCAAGGTAAACAAAGTTGTTGAATATTTTTCTGTTGTATACATAGGTTAGGTTTCTTTGAGTTAAAATATTACAAAAATCGAAACAATTTACAATTTGTATGCATTGATCAAATGAAATTAGTTTCTTTGATAGATAAATGTTCTCAAATAAACCCACTAATCCATTTCAGTTAGTAAATAGGTTATTAGTTCAAACCAGCTTAGTAGCTAAAGTACTCCAGTTTTCAGCTTCCAGGCTACTAGTTCCTTCTGTGGGACTTTTTAAACTACCCAGCATAAATTTAATGTATTATAAGGTGCGTAAGATAGTTTTCAAAATAAAGTTATCTGTAAATATTATTTCATTAAATTATTTTGTATTTGACATTATGGTTCTAGCGATTCCCAGATTATTGGATTGTTCCAACTAATCGTATTAAATGGAATGAAATTAAACGAATTTATTACAATGTAAGTATGGATCATATTGTTTGAATAATCAACTTCTCTTTGAAATGTATAATTGTTTCATCTTTGTAAAACTTAGTTTCTGCATTATTTTAACTGTGACTATGTTTTCACTTATTTGGTAAGAGAAATACTATCCGTCATTCCGTCATGAAAAAGAATATCAAATTATGACTTATTAATAAATACACAGTTACGAAGTTTTCTATCACTTTATTTACAATAACGAAGTAGTAATGATGTTTCGAACACACAGGTTTTAGTCTAAAACATAATATGAAATGATTTCATACATATTGCAAAACAAAGAACTGACTAGCTACGCGTTGCTAGGTTATATATACACAAATGATTATCCAGGTCGATAATTATTTTCGAATCTGGAGAAATATTTTATGCATAAATTGAATTATATACAACTTTGAAATGTAAAATCACATTCGTAAATTACCATATACACAAATCAGTTCAAGTAAATAAACTCGAACAAACCTACTAATTGATTAAAATCGATGGGGAACTATCTTATAATAAAGTGTATTAAACTGACATATGTTCTTAGTCTTATTTGTTAGTATATGCAAGGCGAATACACCATTACTTGTGTGCTAAATAACAAAAGTCATTTGAAGACCTCAATATGTTCAATGATAGAAAATTGTTGAAACTATAACTAATTTCCTTTAATTATTGCGAATATATCGCTCAACTAACATTACACTAAACATACATTAAGTACGATCAAGCCACACGTGACAGCAAAGCGCAGCAAACAGTGGATAACTATTCCGTAATAATTAGGAAATGGTAAACGTATGACGAGCGTTAAAAGGTCCACTAAAAGCTTATAGTAAAAGGAATTTAGAAGTGCAACAATACAGTTAGACAAGAGTATGAATAACAATCATTCGAAAACTGGTTCCGAAATTTCCAACTTTTACAACACTCGTCTCGTTATAACATTAAGTTTTCAAATCAATTATTATTATTATTAGGTTTATTCAACATTATATTTTTGGTACAATATAGAATTCCCAGCACAATGTATTTTAGAGAATTTCCGTTTTTTATTTCTTGATCGATATTTATGATAAATATTGAGTGACCGCCAGTTAGATATCACCATTTCAAAGTCGATATCTGAATAATGTTCATTCTTTTCAATCCATATTGCCAACCATCACAATGTTTCTGATTGTAAATTTTTGTAACTTGTACAGAGAAAGGTTGTAAACTTTTCACCGACTCACCTGAACAGTTTATGAAATTAATTAACGTAATGATTTGTTAAAATAAACAAGGAAACAGATAACTTGTTGAAATATCTAGATGGCAGGGACAGGTAGCTCAGATATTCAATCAGGTCGCCTTTTAGTTGTAAGTAACGTAACATAACGTACTTAGCTGTCGATTGAATACATTTTTCTTCAGTTTGACATCTTACTTATCAGTGGGGATTAAAGCGGAGTTTTCTAAGTATTTGGAAAACTATTTAGTGTCATCAACAAGTAAAAATACCTACTTACGTTGACCGATTTTCCATTATTTACAACGTGTTTAGGCTTAGAACTTGTAACTTTTTTCGTCCATCTTACATTCATCTAGAAAGAATGACTTCGTAATATTTTTGGAAATGTAATTTAAAAAACTTTCTTTTACTTTTGATTCGGTTTTCTGAATAAAAGATATCTAAACACTAAATAGTTTGTATTACAAATGGTTGTAAATAGAAATGTTATCTATTTAAAAGTTATATGAAGTTACGATGTAATTTAACTAGATAATGATTAAAAGTTTTTATTTTTTTTCTTTGTAATTAATGGTCGCCTAAGTGGAAATATAGTAAAGAAAAAAACTAACCTAAAAAAATAATCTAACGAAAGTAATGCTAATCGAAATCATAAGAAATCAGTCAACGTGCAGTGTAGGCTGGAATGGCACTTTCCAGATTAGAATATTTTTGATGTTGGTCAGATTGTGAAAGTTTGGATCTACAATGCGTTGGTGTGATCAGTTCTATCCTGTGCTTATGAAACCTTTCCTCTCTGGATTGCGGTAGTTCGGCGGCTTCCTATGTTCTCCTGATGATTTCTGATATCTAGTAGTAAATGCGTGTCACTAATTGTCAGTTTCGGCTGTTCTTGTTTGAGCAGAGCGACGACAACTCATTTGGTTTCACTACCTTGAAATATCGACTTTGGTAGCTAGGACATGTATTAAGAACTATCAAATAAGTGATTTATTCCCAACCCTGACATTAGATGGTAAAAGTGGGGAAGTGGTCCATTTATGATATCAAGCGGTGGTATTAAGCAGAACTGTATCTCCTTTTATATACAATTCTTATTCAATTATTCTTATTCACTTTTTATTTTCGTATGAATCCCCTTTCTTTTATCTTTCTCCTCATAGTGATGACGTATAATTATTTTAGTGGCCAGCTGTTCCAGTATTTCAGTGTACTGTAAAAAATATATCGAACGTTTATTATTTGTTCACTGTATTAATTTTGTAATTTACAATGATAAATTAAACTGTACTTAGAATGTTATATTTCAATTAGTTGCAAATCCTCTCTATAACTGTAACATTTAGTTGTTCTCTGAAGAGGTGACTAACACTGAGTCACGAAACGTCAGAAAATTCAATTTTTCTACTCACTGATATATTAAGATTTATAAATTTATCGGTACTGTTAGTTTTGTTACTTCTTATTTAAGGTTTTAAAATAAAAGAACGGTGGAGTATTCTCAATTTTAATGATGTACGGTAGTATGAATAGTTAAATTCAAACAAATTAACACCGTTCCCAAAAACGTATTTTTTACTTCCCTTCAAAGTCAATTTCAGACTTAAAAACATATCAACCGCATTACTTATTATTATCAGGTGTTTCAGAAATTACTGAATTTCATAGCTTACATAACAGAATGGTCTAAGTGAGACAACCGCCAAAAGTGAGGACGCAGTGAACAGCTATTTCCTTGTGGTAGGAGACACATCAGCACTGATTATCCATTGTTTCATCGAGGTTTGAACTCAGGATTTTCAAGTCGTATGGCGGGAGCTTAGCTTATAGACCAGTGAGCAAGCGTCCAATTATTTACTTGTCTGGTTATAATCATTTCACAATGTTGTGACGTTATCTTTACCCCACTAAAAGCTTGATGTTTTCATTCATTTTTCACTCTATAGCATCACACTGTAACTATTCATTTACGCTCTAAGGCCCGGAGGCGTGATTTCAAAATGAAAAGAACTTTATCAGCAAGACATTTATTTGCTTTAATTACTAATATGCATTTCTATCAATCAATAGCCGAAATGTCTGCAACTCACTCGAACGATTTGTTGGGGAAAATTGGTAAATATATTAGTTGAAACAAGATTTTCATTGAATGTGCTAATCCATATTTCTAAGGTCATTAATAATATCTAATAATTGCTTTATGAATATTCTTCACAACTGATCGAAATCTATTGATTAGGTTATTTTGCAGTGTAGCTTAGTGATATGATCTTTAATTTCTTTGAAGCTATAGATATACGTATTTTAACAATCACAAAACTGAAGTGTGAAAGCCATTTACAAGAATATATAGCTGCGTCTTACAATTTTCTAAACTGATATTATTATTCACGAAGTTGAATGTGAGTGATTGTATGAAAATCAAGGTCGTAGATAATTTTCTTAATTTTTAGGATTAGAAGAGACGAAGTTTATGTAATACACGCAAGTCTTTCACTAATTAATTTAAAACTGAACACTTCATCTCAATTACTATTTGCAATAAAATGCTTGTATTATAAACGTTGGTCCATAGTGGATCCTTCATATTTAATCTTAAATACCTAACTCTGTCATTTAAGTATATTGCAACTACTTAAAAAATTGCATGATGCAGTGATTTTTATCCTGTTTGTTCTATTTATAATTTGTAGGATTTGAAATAATTCATTGTCAGTCCCAGTATACTAACCACTGGTCGAAATCATTCGGTCTCAAAAAAATTAAATAACCAACTGTAAAATGTTCCTCAACAGGTTACGTAACTGTGAAGTAATCACTAAAAATTAAAAAAAACTGTTAAGACTTTAAATCGCTTTCTTCCAGCTTCTTTTAGCTGTCATGTTATGGTGTTTGTAAAGTTTACTATTCATAATCTGTACAGTAACTTTCGAATAGGGGTGGTAAACCTTCTAAGATATCTTTGAATGAAAAATAATCAATTTAAATAACGAATATGTGATGTTCAGAACTCATTCTTAACTGTGGATTATAATACTACTGGTTATTAACGCATACATTAACTGATACTTAATCCAAATCGTTCGAAGCTGTAGAATATAGTCTCAAAGAAGCGAAATTAACGATGAATAAAAACGTTATCTTTTAGCGGATTGGCTAAAATATAATGTTGATTTAACAAATGTTAACATCTATAAATACCCGTGTTTTTCTGTATAAAAATGAACTTTTGGAGTAAAGTGTTTTTCGCTTATTTTGCGCCTTTTCTCTCGAGTTCAGGTCGCTGCGTAGTTCTAGCTGCGGGTTACCAGAATAGCTTAAAAACCGAATAAAGCGTTCAAATTAACAAGATTTATTAGTTCCATTACAAGATGTAGTACATTTATCAGTGATGAATATAATAACTCGTGAGTTAAGCTCGTATTTTGGAATCTCTAGTATTGTGAACTGAATAATCACAAAATATTTTTTAAAACCTAGTACTATCAAAGATATTGAAAACAGACAAATTGTAGAAATGAAATTCTAAAATCTAATATTATGTATCATTCCGATTTTAAAAAACAAACAGAAAAAGCTACTTAAATGTTAATCCGACATCCAAGTTTTTTTTTCACTTTCAACATAAGGACAATAAGTGTGTTTAAAATATATTGTCATATTATTTGCTAAATTATTGATAATTTAAATTACTTCATATCTTAACCATAGAACTGGTTTATTTCGTTTGTTTTTAGAGTTAAGATATTCTATAAAACCATCGATTTAACAATACATTCATGGAGTTAATAAAGATTTAGCAAGTAATTAATCAAGATGTACATTAGTTGGCAACAAAGATCATTTGTTATTTTATGTCATCACAATGTAATTAAATATTTAATCAAAACAGAGGAAAACTTCATGAATATGAGATTACTACTCAAATGAAGAAGGTTATAATCTAGTGCGTTTTTGTGTATATTTTCTTTTATTTTGATTTTCTTTTTCAAGTCAGATTTTGTTAAATATGCCCAGATAATATAAAAACAAAAGAAATATTTAATTATTATCTAGTCAAATTACATTTATTTGTTGTTTATTGAAGTTTGAAGTGAATATATGAACAAATTTGTCGTAATTTCCACACAAAGTTGAGAATCAAAAATAATTCTACACTTTTAATTATTTGTGGATTTCGTATCAGTTATAAACATTTCATATTTACAGATAGCTTAAAGAAAAATATCCAAATAGATGTTGATAAATTATAATATATGAAGGAGATTTCCCTTTGAATTTTGTTATGAAATTATAAGGTTGGTGAATGAACATCTTTTACTTAAGACACGTGAATCACTAGTAACGTTTTATAAATCCAACTTATTGTACTTTAAATATTGTAAATAAACAAAAAGCATGAAGCAAGTACGCTAATAAAACCGAACCTTTAAACGAATGTACCAGTTGGTTTAACCCACCCAATAAACGTTTGTAAATTTTGGCTAGAGATACAAATATCATGATGACAGTTATGACTAATAAAGACATTAGTTTAAGGCGATCATCTGAACATCGTGAGTGTATCCAATCACAGCACACATGCAAAGTTTCTTTTCCGCCAGAAATTTGGCTTAGTGGTCTTGTATTCATCCCATACTATATATGCTTCAATACATTACCCCTCCCAACCATTATAGCCTACTTCTGTGTTTGCCGTCGCAATGTCATAACTTACATGTTATATTACAGGCCTCATCGATTTATCATAACACAAATACCTTTTAATGTATATTTTAGTTTCTAATTTACTTACCCCATAGAGATTTTCTTAATACTTTATAAATTGTATAGCAGTTAACGTTAGTTGCATTTTTAATTCATGTCTATACACTAAAAGATAGCAACAAATGAAATTTTCGTAAAATCAGGAAATCATCTTTTTTCTTGACTTTTAAATAATTTTGTTCCCTACAGATGTTGCATATTAAGTTCATTGAGGTATGGGAAGGAATTCAAATTACACTATCATTATCTGGACGAATGGCTAACATTAGATTGAAACAAAGTTAAAGCCAGAACGAACATTAATGCAGAATAATTCATTATATTTCGTGGTTCCTCATCAGCTACTTACAACCAAATATGTATTAGAATTTTACATTGAGGTAAGATATAGTGTGGAACGATTGACATAAGTGGATGTAAAGAATTGGAATGACAAAGGTTATCAATAATAACATTATATAGTGTGTCATCACTATATCTACAGTAGAGTCTGCAACAGTCATAAGCACTCCATGAACCTACTCAATCTGTCTAACAAGGATATAGATTTTATTATGGAATATGAAGTAGAAGGTAAATTCCATTTCCTAGATATCGGAATCAGACGGCACATTACAAGGGCACATTCAGAGCAAAAATACCTGGAGTGGAGTTTATAACAATCACTACAGTTTCTGTCTAATGAGTTACAAAGTGGGCATTGTACGAACCCTTTTTGACTGCGCACGCAAACTCTGCTCAAGGGAATGCCTGAAAGACGAAATCGCTCTCATCACAAATTGCCTACGTGAAAATGCATACCCGGCGAAGTCCATCAAGAAATATGCCAAAACCAACCCTCAAGTAAAGTACGATAGAGTGGAAAAGAAAACCTGCTTCTTAAACTTACGCTTCAAAGGAGACGAAATCACTGCTCTTAACAGTGCAATAGCTCAGTATTTACTTGACACCGGGCATACCGTTGAAACTCATGCTTTTAAAATTATTAGCAGACAAAGAAATACTGCTTCTCTCCGTTTTGTTGAAGCAATCGCGATAAAAAACTTAAACCTGATCTAAGTATTTAAAAAGAGACAGTAATAAACCTATTACTACCATGGTAATTCAGTTTTTTTGGTCATTAGTTTTATTTTGCTATATTTATCTTCCATTATCAAATTCTTAAACCACGCCTTCATTCATACATTTCCACTCACTTGATTCTCTTAGATTATGTGAACTCTTCAAATCCTATTCATTTATTACGTAACCCATCTTACCAGATTTTAAATTCATGAATCTTATGTAAACCCTCCATTACCTCTAAAATTATCACATAATATATATATATATATATATATATATATATATATATATATATATATATATATATATTATTGATAACCTTTGTCATTCCAATTCTTTACATCCACTTATGTCAATCGTTCCACACTATATCTTACCTCAATGTAAAATTCTAATACATATTTGGTTGTAAGTAGCTGATGAGGAACCACGAAATATAATGAATTCATATTATTCTGCATCATTGTTCGTTCTGGCTTTATTTAAATTCATAAAAGGAACTAATTGCATAAAACGAAGTTACTGTAATCATTAACATCACCCACATATTTGAACAATATTAACGTCTGACTATGTTGCTTGGATTAAGAGGATGACATTAATGCTTTTTTAGCATTAATAATATAAAAAAACTGTCCTTCCGCTGGAATCGGGTCTATCACTATTAGAGCAATCCCATTTTAAAGATTGTACAATATCTCTCAGGATTAGACATTATAATATACTGTATAATGTATTTCACCAAGTATTTTATAGGATGACAATTGCAGTCCAATTTACCAGTAGGGACTGAGATTAAAGGTATTGTATTTTAATAGGGACTTGGTGAGCAAACATTAAACAAGAAAAACGTCTATATTCTTCTGACTGTTTGGGAAATCATCTAAGGAACACTAAAATAGGTAAAATATGGACTAAATTTAGGTAGTAATAGCTGACCTCAAATGTTCAATTTTAATTAAGTTTCGAGTCAAAACCAAATTTCATCCAGACTACAGCTACTGATTTGTCATTTTAGTAATAGAAAGTCGATTTTTCTACTATGTTATCTTTTAAAGTATAATGTCTTGAGTGGAATATTATATACTCAAAGAAAGTGAACCATAATGTTGAATAGTATCCCGTTTCCTTGCTTCACGGTCTAGTTATTGATGGGATTTGAGTTTTCCTAATAATGAATTCACTATAAAATGAAAAGTTGACGGGATTATTGTGAATATTATTCAAATAAATAGCATTTGTATTATACATAGATGTAAAAATACCGAAGATGGTATCCAAAATAGGAGCTTTAATTTGACATGTAGGAATGATGAGATGATTGGACGTACGTGAAAAAATTCCAGTAACTTTTTGTATCTATATCATGTTCTTGTTAGCCCAATAGATCTGTACATCAGTAAATTTACTAAAAGTATATAATAACAGCTCAAACTCATTAATACTCTGCTTAATTCAGTATTAGAACTGGATAGACTTAATAAAATCTGTTTTACGCTATCGCTTAATGTGTTCACTAAGTTTAAATACGTCATGTAGAAAATGTGTCTTATATTTTACTTATTTCAGGACTAGTTACTTCTATCACTGAGAAATTTTGTAAGCCAATGGAGTGGTAATCCATTATAGACGCACACAAATAATGTTATTCACATACAATTTAATCAGTCCAAAGATGCAATAGCAATGACAGATGTTACACAGATTACTTCTAATAATTAAGATAACAAGACGTAACGTACCACTGATAGGTTAAAAAAGACTAAAAATTTACATGCATACACAATTTTGTATTCACTATAGATAACCCGGTAAAATTTCCGGAAGTTAAGTATCATTAAAACGTGCATACAACATAAAAAAATATTTTCCATAAATTTATTCACAAACATTGCCTAGGTCGATATGTAGTTATTCACAATCAATACATCTAAATAAATGGAAGATGCAGTGGGTGAGGAGTCATAAATCTCTTGAGAACTTCATCAGTAATCGCAGCTCGTCTTCTCTGGTGCTCTGTAACAAACTCAGTCAACAGTGTGATAAGCTCCTTTTTGATTTCACCTGTCAACAGTTTGCCACTAGAATAATCCTAAAAATATAAACACAAATTTTATGATTAAAGAAAAAACACAAACCTTACTGTAGAAATGAAACTGATAAATATGACCTAAAGAAACATGTCGGATAACTAACAAACCACCAACAACATCATTAAAGCGAACAGATATACAGAAAGCTGACTTTTACCTGATGCTAATATTGATGAATGAGGTAGTGGGGAATATTTGTAGCCCAGAATTAAAATTTTGAGGATGTCGAAAAAGACAATGTATGCCTCATGATTAAACCATCCAGCTCAGAAAACATAACATTCTCAAAACCGATGAATGACTGTGATAATTTTTAAAATTAATATTTCAGCTCAAACAAATACGTAAACCATCCATTTGAGCTATAGATTTCCCACATCATTGCACTATGACTGGATAATATTCTGATTAGTTCTGCTAATAATTAGTACTTAAAAAGTAGGTATGCTCCACATATACTAAAAAATATCAGCACTCCTAAGAATGACATGATAATTTTAGTTACAGGATAATAATCAAATGTATGGTGACAGAATTCACCTCTTCGCCAAAAAGCAGTCGTGTTTACGTCGCGTGGGAAGATGATAAGATACATTGCAATGTCGGTGACTGCAGAAATTACACATGTTAATATATCAGAACGATTATTATTCCCTCAAAAAGTGCATATCCATAGTTAGAGCTAGAGATAACATAATTATGTCTAAATAGGACTAATCCAAAAATGTGCACAAGTTCGCATACTTAGCTATAAATCAGATCCTGTATGTGAGTGGGTCCTATAACGTTAAAGCAGTAAGAAACTAGATGGAATGACCTTGTCGCATACTTATTTGGTTCATACTAACTACTAAGAAAAATTTTATATTTACTTTACTAAGTATGGAATGCAAAAAAGAAATGAACACATTTACAAATGGGTATTTTACGACAGTTTTAACTTTATTTCACTAAGTCTAATGTCATGCAACCAGTACATTCAAAAGAATTAATTTGCTGGCACAAACCTGACGTATTTGTTCTAGTTTTTGATCGTCTTCCAAGAAAAATCTCAAATACTGGTATGATACATCAATATCACAGTTTCCT